CCACAGTCAGGGCTCTCCTCCCCAGCACCCTGTCCTGTCTGCTGGTTGCATGGGGGCAAACAGACCTGCAGAAGGATTCCTGCTGAAGGTGAATCACTCCGGGACTCATGAGACTGAGAGATGGCTGTGTGGACGTGGAGTTTGAAGCTCATTCTTTTCCTTCTCTGGGCTTCTAGGCTGGGTTTGAGCTGACTGTGCTCTTTCTTGACTTCCTGTTTCTGCTCTGAGGATTCACTTCTGCTAGTGAAAGAAAAGCACATAGTCTGCTTTAGTACAACCTTGAGCCTTGTTCCATTTCTTGTGCCTCCCACAGGACACATGCGGCCCCAAGGTGGGACTGGCCTGTAGCATGTGAGGCGGGGGGGGGTGGTCGCATTAGTATCAGCAGTGACAGAACTGGGTTAAGTGCTGGGGAAACAGCAGTTAACTGGACAGAAAGGGCCCTGAGTGCTTTAGAGTACTGGTATAACTGAGCTGAAAACAGGGCCCTGTGACCCTGAACCCAGACCCCCAAGTGCTCTGGAATTTGCTCTCTATTCCAGGCCTGAGATAGCCAGCAGAGGGTGAGGCTTGGACTGGTGGAGAACCTGACAGAGGGCAGAGACCACAAGAGTTCATGCTCCCACTGTGGTCCGAGATCCACAAAACAGCTGCACTGTGACCCAAACCCTCAGCTCGGGGGGTAGTTACTCATTGACTACAGTACTTTCTTTTTCCATGGCTGGGGAGAAGAGAGAAAAAAAAGGTGCAGCTAGCTCCCTGACCTCAGCCCCTAGAATAGTGTTTTTTAAACTTACTTTGGAACTTGTTAATGGAACATAAAATCAGTTTTGTGGGTCGCAACTAGCATTATTTAAAAAATGCAATGGAACAGAATACCAGAATGCACTGTGCACAGGACGAAGTATTATTTCATAATCTTGTTTCATTTGTGGGTGTGTGCGTGTGCACAGACGCTGGTTCACAATGTAAAATGTTCTTATTTGGGGGGTCACTGTCAAAAGGACATTTGAAACCACTGTCCTAGAGGAGAGAGCCCAGCTTCAACCAGACTGACAGAACGTGTGTGCGCCTGGGAGGCTGGGCCCACTCCTCAGCCCGGAAGGCACTGGCGAACCAACAGTATTTTAGGTCGCATTAATCTCCAGCTGCCCTCAGCCTATGATCCCTTCCCTAGAACCACCTGCTGGCTCTTGTTTGAGGACAGCAGGCAAGGAGGGAGAGGTAGGGGGCAGGCCAGGCTGCAGAACAGGTCGTGGACCGCAGTTGACTTCCACTCTTCTCAGTGGCTGGTTAGGACAGCTGTAGGATGGATACACAGCTGCTTTATTCTGTCAGGCTCGAAAATGGGCCTTTGTTGCCTGCCAAGGACCACTGTTCCTACACAAGGGACGATTTTTGTAGGGCCAGGAGTCTAGCTTCAAGGTATGCTATGCAGAGCCTAGAGGTGCTGGTGCTGGGGCGGATTCAGAGGAGGGCTCGGGTGCTGGAAGCATCTTGTCCCAGGTGTGTGACAGGGCCCTGCAAAGGTGGACTAGAGCCACAGCTGCTTACACAGGCAGTGCACAAGTGGCTCACAAGCCCCACTTACTCTGGCACTCCCCTCCTTTGGGGCAAAGGCCTCAGGGCAGGGAGAAGGAAAGACACACTGAAAGGGAACAGAGTCAGCTCAAGCCTGACCCTCAGGGCATCCACTCCAGCAACTTAGGAGCAGACCCCACCCTGTGTGACTGTCACTGAGCAGAGAAGAAGTCTCACACCACACCCTGTGCAGGCTCCAGCAACTCCAGCACCAGCCACACCCACTATCAAGGTGTGACATGGCTGAAGAAAGGCGTAGCTGGCATCCACATCATTCCAGCCCTTGCACCAAAGACAATGGGCACGCACAGTCTACATAGGGACATACCCAGATAAAAACACCCCTTCAAGACCATAATAAATGACTGTTTCATCTAAATTCATAGAGACAGAGAACGGTGAGTAAAATTAAAAGGCAGAGGAACCACTCTCAATTGAAAGAGCAAGAGAAAACCCCTAAAAAAGTAATGAAACGTAATCTACCAGGCAAGTTCAAAATGCTGGTAATAAAAATGCTGAGTTAAGAGAACTGATCTAAGCACAGATCACTTTAACAAAAAACTAGAAACTAAAAAGACCCAATGAAAAAATTCAATTTCTGAGATGAAAAGCATTCTAGAAGAAATGAATAGCAGACTAAGTGACACAGGACACATAAATGGTCTGGAAGATAGAATAGTGGAAAGCACCC